AATATAAGATTTATTTAATGTGTTTCTGTCTGTGCACTGCAGATTGCTTGTCAGAATGTTAGCACACTTTTTTTTAAGTGCTAGAGAAATCAAATGGTGGCCTCTCTTCACCTGTAGATTTTGAAATAATACTCCCTATACAGAAATGACTCTTATTCCCCAAAGACACTGGCACCTGCATCTAAATGAGTTACCATTTTTTAAAAAAAGAGGAAACAATATGTTTATCCATATGATTTCGTCCATTTAGTCGCATATGAAGTGGGGGCGGAGTGGGGCGGTCCGCCCCCGGTTTGCTGTTTTGTCTTTCTATGTAGGGGCGTCGTTTTTCTGCATTCTGTGGAGTTTTATAGGAGCACGGTGAGCGTAAAAAATTTTTTTTTCGCCCACTCCGAGTGGCACTAGCCTTAGCAACGACACTGCGTGTAATTAAATCAGCGAAGATTTGTAAAATGCGATTCAAAGCACTTAAGATTCATTTTCCAAAATGTGTGCAGAGGCGTCGTCCGATAAAGTAGAAAGGAATTTTATTTTTAAAAAAAATTTTCTTTCCATCCACGTATAGTGTCTATGTAATGTCTTTGGCTTGGTGACACAACCGGATCCATTTTAACGGTCTAGAAAATCGTTAGCAATTCTTTCATGTTAAAGCTTCGCCGTAGAATACTAAACACACTGTCGTCAAAGGCAAGTGGACGTGGGACGCGAAAGAGCCGCTGCAGGTCAGCCCTGTCAAACTATTGTCCCCATAGGCGTCGAGAAGCCAAGCCAGAGTGGCGAGGGAGATATGAAAATAGAGAAATGTCAGCGAAGGAGAGGCTACAAATTTGTTTTAATAAATGACAAAAGCCGTTTATGGAGGTGATGCTTTGTCACCAGCAATGAAACGGAAGTTAGCTTGTTTAATCGGTGTTTTAATGTTAAAATAATACTATCATTTTAATATTACCCGCATTAAAGCAGGTTGACATCACTGAAAAGGTGGTGGCATTGTTAAATCAGTCGGACACTGAATCTATATTTCATGTGGTATTAAATCGTACACACTCTTGCTTCAATGCCCCGGGGTGGTAGATGCGAAGCATTAACCTTGGATGGCAAATCATCTATGATTAAAATATCACAATTCACGCAATTTTTATCAGTCTTTTCAATTTTAATTCAATTTTTCTTACAATTGATTCCATATACTTATTTTGAGAACGCGATAAAACTAACTTAAGAAAAAAACACCGGAATATCCTTTAAAAAAATGTGTTGCTCTATCATTCATCAAGCACACCATCAACGGTTGACATAATCTTTGACAACCATCAACGACCTCTAACATATTCAATGCCGTACGTATTGTGGCTGATCAGTCGACCTGTTTGGTAATTCTTAGCAACCGTCAGTGTAATTAATAAAAACGTCTCATATTCGGGGAAAAGTTGATACTTTGTTATATAAACTATTCAGCTCAGGCATTCGTAAAAACAAATTTTAACACTAAAGAGACTAAATATTCCACGAGTTTAGAAGCCCTTAAGAAAAAAGCAAGACACGGGGAACAATGTTGGCGCCAGTCTTCTCCTGAGTGCGAAACTTGTAATACAATATTCTTTGCCCAGCACTGTTCAAGGATCGTTCTTAAAATTTTGACAGAAGAAACATAACGACACATGACGCATTCGCCTATCACATATCTTTTTTTTTTTTTGAGAGGGTGGCATCTCCCCTGCCGGGATCTTACCATGTTACGTAACATTACAAAAAGGATTAAAGGGGTGGGGGCGATCTTCTTCTTTTTTCTTTAGTGGTCCTTCTGCTTGTTAGGATGACAGCGTCTTTCTGACAACTTCAACCGAACCACAAACTTTGGAACACATGACGTAGCATGCACACAATGACCAAGAAAAAAAAAAAAAAAAAAAAACTTTGGAACACATGACGTAGCATGCACACAATGACCAAGCAAAAAAAAAAAAAAAAAATTACCATGCCAAAAATTCCTTAATTTTTATTTTCAGTCGTATCCGGATATTTGTACGAATGAATGTTGTACCAAAGGAAATTAAACAATAAATATATATAATTTGTATATATAATTTGTATATATTATATATATATATGTATGTATATTTATATATATTTATTTATTTATTTATATATATTGAAGTTTACTTTTCGTTTTTCTCACTAAAATTAAACAACCGCTAAAACAAAGCGTTTCTTATTAATCATAATACACAAATAAAATGTAATATCGAATAATAGAAGGGGTTGGTGGGGGCGGGGGGACGATGAGTGAACATTTGACAAAAATTCATTCAAGTGACGAACTTTATAATTTACACCAGTTGGGGGTTCGAGCATTGAGACGGAAAGCCATGGGTCGCTCCAAATGGAAGGATGTGGTGGAGCAGGCCGGGGCCCTACATGGGCTATTGTGCTATTGATGATGATGAACGAACTTTATAAGAATCTTAATTTTTGCCCCCCTTCCCCACAAGGCACCCAAAAAAACATTATTTTCCCGCCCCTGAACTATATCAATATTCTAATGACCCACCCGCTTTCAACACACAGATTTATTTCACCAAAAATTCTGAAGAAAACAAAAGAAAATATTAAGCACCAACCCTTTTGAGATACTTTTTTTTATTTTTAAAAGAGAAAGAATCTCATTTAACGCAGTTATCTGGAATATCGGCAAGTTCAGCTTTATCTTGCCCTGAAAAAAGGAAAAACAGTTTTTGATGCTTGTTGGTTGGGGTTGTAGGTTAGGGCTGAAAATTTGAAAGAATGCGTTGTCATCGGCAACTTATATATATATGCTCCATTTCTGACGGATAGATCGATGGTAAACAATTAGCCGTCCGAAGATTTTGCCATCCAGGCAGTCAATCAGCTAGCAACCAAAAAAAAAAATCTGCTTTATTTCCAACAAACTTCTTTTCGCGCAAAGCTCCATTCGAACAACTGTGTGTTCAAACAAATGTCCTTCGTACTTGCGGTTTCGAAAAAAATGGCATCGTAAAATTTCCGGTATAGCTTTTTCCATGGAGCTGAGTTCCCTCGTGTTATGAAATATAAGAACGTTTGTCGGTGCCTGGTTTGAGGAATATTGTCATGGATTCAAAGTCCGTTTTTTGTTAAGATTCCAAATAAATTAGTGCTTGCATGTCGTCACATCACAATGAGCTTGGGGCGGACAACACGTAGGTTTCTAAACACAGGGGTCCTCCGTTTATACATACACATAACACAGAAATTTTGTCTCTTATTTTTATATTTTAAAAAACAAGGTCCACCCTGACAACGTTACAACAATCCCCCACCCCCTTCCTCTTTTGTCTATTTAATTAAAATTTGAAACCTCTAGGACACATACAAACCAAACGCCATCAGCAACATTACTTATTTGTTAACTTTTGAACGTGTACTTAACATATACTTAATTTTTTTTCTATAGTACGTTTCTATGGATTGTAAATCTTGATAATGTACATATAAATATTATTACAAATTTCAATCATGTACTTAAATAACTATGATTGCATTGGACATATCATTCCACATGCAAATAAACCGATTTCAAAATATTAAACCCCCTTTTTCGTGCTTGATGTCCAATATGTTTCTGTTGTGTATAAAACACATTTTTAAAAAATTAATTTAAAAAATGTACAATTTGTTTTACAAATTTTAAACAATATTTACAAATATAAATTAAAAACACCCATTATGAAATCATTAGTGAAACTCCAAACCAAGGTTGAAAAAAAAGCTTAATCTGTCATTAAAATACTTTAATAAAATACAAAATTTAATTAGTCCAATCTCATTTTTTTAAACATTTCAAAATAAATAAAAATGTTGAGAACCGCTCAATAAATACAATTCAGTTATTACCCAAAAAAACCACTTATTATAAATTCATATAAAATTATCCATCAACAAGACCACTCATTAAAAATGTATGTTTAATTATCACATTACAAGAGATATATAAAAAATTAAATTAGTCCAATTCTTATTTTAAAACATTTCAATATTAAAACAAATTTTGAGAACCAATCAATAAACTTAAATAAAATTCAGTTATTACCCAACGAAAACACTTATTATGACTTCAAATAAAATTATCCAAAAACAAAACCATTCATAAAAAAAGTAAGTTTAATTATCATAATACAAGAGATTTATTAATAGAAAAACAAATTAACTTATTAAAAAAATATAATTACAAACTATCACACAGCAAGACAATTTTTAATTAAATTATTTAAAAACCTTTTGTACAAAAAGAGATATAAATTAAAATCAAAGGTTAAAAAAAGTGTTTGATTACTCCCCCTTAAACACGGTATCCAACCTCCATCAGCAAGACTTATCTATGCAGGTTCCTCCGACTCCGCCAAAATTCGACCTGATAACAGGTGGCGAGGGGGGTATAAAAATAGATAGATCGGTAGAACGATAGATCGATAGATCGACAGACAGACAGACAGACAGACAGACAGACAGACAGACAGACAGACAGATAGACAGTAAGACAGATAGACAGATAGACAGATAGATAGATAGATAGATAGATAGATAGATAGATAGATAGATAGATAGATAGATAGATAGATAGATAGATAGATAGATAGATAGATAGATAGATAGATAGATAGATAGATAGATAGATAG